ACCAAGGAAGAGCTGCCAGCTCCAACCAAGGGCTGCTCAAACCCCTTCTCAATTATTTGCTTTAATTAACCAATGCAAATGAACCAGTCCAGACCACATGGATACAGCTTTATTCTTTTTAATGAAATTATAAACACTGCAGAATATAAATGAACACTTTTAACCTCAAAACTCTTCTAGGAGATAGGGCAGGGGTGCATTGCACCCCCAAAGTGAGGATTGGGAGAACCGGGAGAAAAGAAAATGCAGCCTGAGATTCCTGGGAGATTGGTGCAGCTTCTGCCAGCCAGAACAATCCTGGGTCTGAGCACACCTGCGGGATGTCAGCAATGTCCTCCTGGGCCTTTTTATTAAAAGCACATTTCCACAGAGAATCAATGAAATGCAGAAAATTAAATGGAAACGGAAAGGAGCAGCTCCCCCAGCCCATCAGGCTGCAGCATCCAAAAGAAAATGAACAAAAGATTATGGATTAGGGATTGGGGGGACCACCCCAAATCCCGAATTCCCCATGTGGAATACCACTCTGCTTTGCTCTGTAAATCACCGCTTCTCTCGCTGGACAAACCCTTCAGCTTTGCTTCCAATCCAGCGAGTTCCCAGCTGTGGCCGCCAGGATTCTCCGCAGCTTGTCCGGGCGGGATGCAGGGGGAGCGGCAGGGAATTGCCGTGGGAGCTGCCCAGGAGCTCCCGGTCCTGCCCCGTGCCTGCAGCCCAGCCGGAATCTCTGCCCACGGCTCCCAGGCTGAGCCCACAGCTCCCTGCGCCGCTGCCCCGGGAGCGTCCCTGCGGTGCCAGCGGGAACGGAGCCTCTCCGGGACACGGACCGGGCATCCCGGGGACAAAAGGAGTTCTCAGTCTTTAGCACCTCCATTCTATCGGCACTGACAGCAAACTTCAGCCTTGGCAAGACATGGAGGGTCAGAGGTATTACAGATCCTGGCCTCACCTCTGCCTTGCCGCAGGTACAGCCTGACAGGGAGAGAGAAGGAAAATCAGGATGGGTTAAAGCTCCAGAACATCCTCATCGGAATTTTGTCAGCTTTGGTTTCACTGATGCCTTTAATGTTCAGCAGCTCCTTCTCTGTTCCAAAAGCCACGGCCTCCACTGTGTGAAATCCAGCTTCTTCCAGCCTTTCCCCATCACTGGAGTTGAGGCCACATTGCTGGGAAGGAGGGGAGAAAAAGGACACCTGTTAGTATTTTTTGATTGTTTGGGGGTTTTTTTTGACAGAACACAAGTAAGAATTTAGCAAAGAAGTTTTCAGACTCACCTTGTTTTGAAGGAAAAAATTAAGGTTTAATATTAGGAAGAAATTGTTCCCTGTGAGGGTGGTGAGCCCCTGGCACAGGGTACCCAGAGAAGCTGTGGCTGCCTTGTCCCTGGCAGTGTCCAAGGTAAGGTTGGACAGGGCTTGGAGCAAGCTGGGATAGTGGAGCTGTCCCTGCCCCATGGCAGGGGGTGGAGCAGGATGAGCTTTCAAGGTCCCTTCCAAGCCAAACTGTTCCAGCATTCCACTCTTCCATCCATTCAGGAATTTCCTTCTGTCAGGTTTGGGGGAAGCTGCTGCTTTAGGAAATGAGTCCTGCTGAGTTTTGTTCCTCTCTTTAGCCATGTATCACATGTGCTTCCTATACAAAATCCCAGCAGCTTCATGCATTGAGGGAAGGAAGCAGAATGCTGTAGCTGTGACAAAAAGCTTTGCAGAAAGGATTTTAAAGCTTCAAAGCCACTCCCAAACCCAAATTAAAATAGTGAGCCAGTGCTGTTTACTCATCTCAGCAGACTTGCAAGCCCACAAACTTTCCCAAGTATGTTCCTGAAAATAGCATGTTTCACCCCGGCAGCACCTGCCCCTGGCTGACTGGGTTTTGGAGCAGGACAGCCCCAGAGCCTCCTGCCCCTCCCAGCAGCCCAAGCCACAGCACCTGGTTGCCAGGGTGGGTGTCTCTGTGGTTGTGGTGGGGTCTGCCCCCTGGATCCAGGGATCCTTTCCCTGCAGGCACCCTACTCAGGCACAGCTTCCCCACGGTTGTTCCACCACCTTTTGCCTGGAATTGCTCCCTTGGTGGGGCTGTCACCAACCTGGGGACACAATGCTGTACTCAATGGCTGGGGAGGGCAAGTGGGTTCTGCCAAAAATCACACCAGGTGCCACTGCTGGACCTTCTTTTCAAGAAACCCTTCTGCTGTCAGGAGAAATCATAGTGGCTGAGTTCCTGTGGTGGGGACCAGAGGGCAAAACTTGTTTCATCTTACCTGGAGGGCCTTGTGTCAGAGAGATGAGGGAGAAGCTTTAGATCACCCTCCATTTGGCCATCCTGCTGAGGGAAATTAGGACAAAAGAGAGGAAACCCAGGACATGAACCTCATGTCATCAGGACATGAACCTTGCTGCTGCAGGTTTTGTAGAGATTCAGGCAGAATTCCTAGTTACATTCATTTTATTTCCTCAACTATGACCATGAGATTTTTTAAAATTCTTTTTTAGTGAAAACTTGGATTTTGCATAACATGAATAGTCTCATGCAAGCAGGACTCTCCCTGAAGGTACTTTACTGGATGCTGTTTTGGTGTAGTTTCCTGGCATTTCTCCAGTCTGAATTTCTGAGCTCATTCTGGACATCTTTTATCTATGGCTCTGCCCCTCCCTCATCCCTAGGGAAGGGATCTCTCCTCTCCTGTACCAGTGGAAGAAGATTGGATGCAATTTGGGAAATGGGCTGTAATTCATCCTTGATGTCAACAAAATATTTTCTGGATTCTGGTCTGCTCATGTAAAAAAAACAGAAACAAAAACAAAAACCCAAACAAACAAAAACCACCACAAAAAAATCCCAGCAACAACAAAACCCACCAAAACAAACAAACAAAAAACCACCAAAAAGCCAAAAAAAAAAAACAAAAACAAAAAGCCAAAAAAACGTGGAGAAATAGTCAGAGAAGAGAGCATTTCCTCCTGGTGTTTTTGATCAGTCTATTTAGTTTTCACCTAAGTGCATGTAAGATGTCCTTCACCTGAAAAGTCTGATTGTAAAAGAAAATCACCCGTTAGGCTGAGGGTGTTAAACCCCAGCCTGCAGGTTCAGCTCTGCAGCCCTGCTGCCTCTGCTGCTGCTTGGTACCCACCCCCAGACTGCAGAAACCCCCTGCAACCCAGGAGAGGACCTCTGATCCTGCTGCCACATCCTGCAAGAGCTGGAGTGTCACAGCTTCCATGAGAGCAGAGGGAGGTGAAAGTATTAAACTATTTCCATAGATGCTTAGAAAACTTAGGAAAACAAGCCAGCGAGGGTAATCTCTGACACAAGGCAAAAAGCCACTTGCTGTTCATTTGCTACATCAGCTCCTCTCTTTATCAACCAAATTTGATCAGAGCAGCAGTTAAAACTCAGTTATGCAGCAACGTATGAATGATACACTTCAGCAATGCCTTGATATTTCTGCCCACTCCCCATTTTCCCCAGCCTTGGGGGTGTGTGCTCCTGCCTCCCTGGCCCCTCACCGCCCCTCCTTTCAAACAAGCATGTTTTACTTGAAACCTGCAGACTGGGAACCTCAAACACTGCCCTGGGGTGTTGATCCCAAACTTCTCACATTTGTCTATCAGGTCCTGGAAAATGAAAAGAAACTGAGCACAGAAGTGCAACTGGTATTAGTAAGTGGTATTAATGTCATTAAGGAAGGGAAGAAAACCCACCAAACTGGCTTCATCATGCTAAAAGTAACTGCAAGGAAAATGGCACTTGAGGGGAAGGAAGCAAGGCAGAGAAGGGTGGGTGATAAAAGTGCTGAGAGCACGAGGTCAGAGGCTACAAAAACCAGTGTGTCCTAACTGGGAAACAGGATTGCTGAGACATGAGCACAGGTAATCCAGACAGGAAATAAGGAGAAGGCAAAGTGAGCAAACAGGACAGAGAAATCAAATTTCTGAGGGAGAAAGGACTTAGTTAATACTGTCCTGCTAGGAATGACCAAGAGCCTGTGAGGAGGATGAGCTGGCAAGTTTGTGAGGCTGCTTCTGCTCCCGGAGGTGAGGGTTCAGCTCAGCAGGCTGATGCTCAGCCCCTGATTCTGCCCATCCATGCCCCTCCCGGATTTCTGCTTGGTCACCCCTCCAGCAACTCCTGGCAGAGCCAGTTCAAGTCCTGAGGCTCTTGAACCCCCCCAGTCTGTGTTTCCATGCCAGGCTGGTGAGCCACCAGTCCTTCCCTGCCTTGATGCCCTGTCTGGGGTTTCCAGTCATGGTCTGTCTGCCTGCTGTGACAGAACACCCAAAGCCAGGGCGTGGGGCACACAACCCTGGGGTGGCTGGGTGAGGTGCCAGAAAGGCTGCAAATGACTGCCAGAGCATGAAGCCTTTCATTACAGAGTCACAGAATCATTCAGATTGGAAAGACCTCTGAGATCCTTGAGTCCAGCCTAGGACCAAACACCACTTTATCAACCAGGCACTGAGTGCCATATCCAGCCTTTCTTTAAAACCTCCAGGGATTGGGACTCCACCACCTGATGCCCAATCAGCCTTTCTGTCAAGAATTTCTGCTGTTCAACCTGAGCCTCTCCTGGCACAGCATGAGGCCATTTCCCCTTGTCCTATCCCTTGTTTCCTGGGAGCAGAGCCCAGTTCCCCCTGGCTGCACCCTCCTTGTCAGGGAGTTTTGGAGAGCCTGGAGGTCTCCCCTGAGCCTCCTTTTGTCCAGGCTGAACCCCTCAGCCACTCCTTTGAGCACCCCAGTCCCATCCCCAGCTCTGAGAATTAAGGTGATCACTGACAGATGTAGCTGATCTTGCAGGGTGACAAAGGCAGTGCCACTGAGTGTCTGCAAGCAGCAGAACAAATAATGGCCTCAACTTTCCTGCTCTGTACTCCTCCAGGTCTGCTTCACCATTACT